AGGAGCCTTTGGGGGTCTGGCATTGAGACTCTCAAAATCAGTAGGTTGTCTAAAGGAGAAAGATGTCTAAAGGGGAAAGACAAAAACGGCTGCAAAGATGTCAGGCTTTTCATCGCTGTGTGGGGTCCAAGAGATTTAGAAAAAGCAGTGTAGAAGATATTGTTCAAGAGATTTTGTTGGGCTGGAGAGATGGCTCAGTGGTTAAGAGCATTGCCTGCTCTTCCAAAGGTCCTGAGTTCAATTCCCAGCAACCACATGGTGGCTCACAACCATCAGTAAAGAGGTCTGGGGCCCTCTTCTGGACTTCAGACATACAGACAGAATATTGTATACTAAATAAATAAATAAATAAATAAATATTTTTAAAAAAAAAAAAGAGAGAGAGAGAGAGATTTTGTTAAGCCGGGCAGTGGTGGTGCACACCTTCAATCCCAGAATTTAGGAGACAGAGACAGGTGGATCTCTGTGAGTTTGAGGCCAGCCTGGGCTACAGAACTTGTTCCAGGACAGCCAGGACTACAAGAGAAACCCCGTCCCCCCCCAAAAAAAAGTTACATTATTGATTTTGTCTGCATGTATGTGTGTAGGTTTGCCGTATGGCATGTGGAGACTAAAGAACAACCTTTTGGGAGTTGGCTCTCTTTATCCAATATGTGGGCCCCGGGACTAAATTCAGGTTATGTAATTTGATGGCAAGCACCTTTTTATCCACTAAGCCACCTCACCAGTCCTTTACTAACGTCAAGTAACTCTGAGGACTCCCTAATTTCTAAACATCACTACTCCATTCTTCCCATGTCCTGAACAACCACCAGACCCGTTGGCCTTGCTGTGACTAGCCGGCTATGGCTTTCCCCTGCATACTTGAACCCAGACCCTGACACGGAGATCTTGGTGTGACCCTGAGCCAGAATTCCTTAACCTATCACAGAGGTACCATCCCCAAACACCTCCTTGGATCAACCAGGTGACTCATGGTTTCCCCTGGTCATCTGATGAATGAGTTCACGCTCTATGTCCTATAAAACCTGTGCTACACACACCTGGACTAATTCTTCTTTCCTTGTGATCGCAAGTCACCCATCTTGAGAGAGCATGGGACACCCCCGTGAACTCTACTCTGCCGTGACCACCAGAAGGAATATTGACTTACCATTCAGTGTCGTTGCTAGGGGACACACACACACCTCAGCAGGCTCTCATCCAAGGACTCTGTTCTTCTTTACAAAGGAGAAGATCACTGCTTCACTGACTTCCTAGAGGTGGACCCAGCCCCAGGTGCTGGAAGGACTTGGGACAGCAACCACTCTCTTCCTTCTGCCCCCAGGACATCGGCTCTGCCTGTACTGCAGCGCCCCCTGCTGTCCGTGCGCCTGGCGTTCCAGGAGCTGAGCCTGAGCCTGTGAGGTTCCAGGTGCTTCAGCAACCAACCTTCTAGCCTCTCTACGGTCCCTTGCTGCCCATCTTCACACTCTGCCCCTGCTCCTGCGGTATATGGGCCCTTTAGTCTTCCTTGCACGATGTTCCACTGTTGCCTACAGACCACCAGGGGCTCAAGTCTGAGACTCAAGTCTCTTCCCAGAACATCTGAGCTGCAGGAATGACCAGATCAGAGTAGAAAATGACTAAAATCTGCAGCCACATGGCTAGTCACCCAAGAGAAAAACAAAAATGTTGTGCAGAGCCTTCAACTTGGCCAAGAGTGAGAGAATTGACAGTCACACCTCCTTGACAACCCAGCTCAGAGCTCAGCTTCTCCAGAGGAGAGGGGCCTTACCCTCTTTCTGTTTTACAAGTTTCCGTCAGGATTAACTCGACCTGTTGCAGCACCCTTCCTGAGCGCTGTGGAGATGTGGAGCTCATGGTAGTTCTGGCTCTCTTGCTCTTTGAGTAAAAACCAAACATCTAGGGCTGGAGACTGGCTGCTCTTGCAGAGGTCCTGAGTTCAATTCCCAGCAACCACATGGTGGCTCACAGCCATCTATAATGAGATGTGGTGCCCTCTCCTGGTGTCCAGGCATACATGCAGGCAGAACTCTATACGTATAATAAATAAATTTTTTTTTTTTTTTTCGAGACAGGGTTTCTCTGTGGCTTTGGAGCCTGTCCTGGAACTAGCTCTGTAGACCAGGCTGGTCTTGAACTCACAGAGATCCGCCTACCTCTGCACCCCCCCCCCCCCAGTGCTGGGATTAAAGGTGTGCGCCACCATCGCCCGGCATAAATAAATTTAAAAAAAAAAAATCCAAGGAGCCTTGGAAGGCTTCCCGGCCCCAGTGTCAATCACACAAATATCAGAGACTAGCCAGCTGTGTCGATGGAACCTCAGTACTTTCCAAAGGCATTCCCCAAGAAGGAGAGAGAGGCAAGCTTTTGAGAGCGGCTGGAGGCTACGTGAGCCAGCGGGACGCAACCAGCGCTGTCACAACTTAGGAACTAATGTGAAAAAGAACACCTCTCACCATACATCCTAAAGTGGGGCTGGGGAGATGGCTCCGTGAGTCGTGTCCTTGTGCAAATATGGCCTCAGCTTGGATCCCTAGCATCCAGGTAAAAAGTCGAGCAAGGAGGCAGCAGACATCTGTCACCCAAGCCTGGGGAAGGAGCAAGAGGATCATGGGAGGAGGGAAGAGGGAGGAGGGTAGAAGAAGGGTGACTCTCTGACATCCAGTCTAGCTGAAACAGTAAGTTTCATTTTCACTGAGAGACCCTGTCTCAAAATAGTGTGGAGATCAATTGAAGATGACCGTCAACCACCTCAGACCTCTAGATGAACACAAATATGCAGAGGTGAACACACTCACAGAGACAGAGAGGTCTGTCTTACACACACACGTGCACACACACACACCAACAAACCGGAAATTGTGAACTGTGGACAGGAAAATATGACATAGCTATATCCAGAAGGTCGTGCGTTTGGGAAATATCAGTTGTGTACTTGGTCTCAAACTCACTAGGAAGTTTGACTCCTGATTCTCTTCCTCTACATACTGAGTGCTGAGATTATAGGTGCTCACCGTCACACCCAGACTGATTTTTCTTCTCTTTTGAGACCAAGTTTTTCTGTGTATCAGCCCTAGGTGTCTTGAAACTCACTCTGTAGACCTGGCTGGCCTCGAACTTAAAGAGATTTGCCTGCCTCTGCCTCCTGAGTGCTAGGATTATAAGTGTGTACCACCACCACCCAGTTAAGAGGGCATTTATGAATCTGCTTTCTCCTCATGAGCCAGAGATCCCAGGATGGGGTGGGAGCTGCTCTTTCACAGATATTAGTGGGCTATGTGATGCTTAGGTCACAGGACCAGCCTTGGCAGGTGGAGGTACTGGGGATACAACCACATAGTCTTTATCCTTAAGTAAGCTGCATTAACTCTGGAAAGGCCCTGGCAGTCCCAATCTGGTCGGCTCTGGGTGGTTACCACCCCTGCAGTCTGCAAACACCCCTCTTGTTGGTGTAGACTTGCTCTTGTCCTTGGTCCTTGCAATCCAGACACTGTGTTTACTGGTGGAGCCCCTGAGCGAATACAGTGCAGGCTAAGGAGGAAATTAGAGGAGGCTTCCGAACTCCAGGTGCTGGGTGGGGTGGTGACTTGCCACGTGCCCACATTAGGGTTCCAGGCAAGTGACTAGGTCATAGCTGCATTGGCGGATACAAGGGACCCTTCCCTCCCTCATATCTGTGTTGCTGAGGACTCTGCAGCAGCTTCCACGCTCCATCCTTCTTGCTCCGAGCTCATCCCATTCGACTGTGTGCCTGTCTCTCAGCCTCAGCTCCCAGGCTCCAAGTTTCTTGCTTTGAGCTCATCCCGTTCAACTGTTTCCCAGCCTCAGTACTTGGCCTTCTACCCGGAACCCGACTGTACGGAACCAGAGCTTTTCCCTGGAACCCATCAGGCTAAGGACCCCAAAACCTATAGGGTTTGACCCAAGATAGAGTTTCCTTTTCCTTGTGTGTGTGTATGTATGACTGTTCATGTGCAGCCTACCCTTAGGTGCCAGCCCTCAAGTACGACACATCTTGTTTTATTCCCTCTCTCTTTGGTTGTTTGAGACAGGGTTTCCTTGTGTAGCCCTGGCTGTCCTGGAACCAGCTCTGTAGATCAAGTTGGCCTTGAATTCACAGAGATCTAGCTGCCTCTGCCTCCCGAGTGCTGGGTCTAAAGGCATGTGCCACCACCACCCGGCTTGTTTTCTCTTAATGTGGGTTTTGTGGCCCAAATCCATATCCTCAGGTTTTCAGGGTAAGCCCTGCAGTGACCGCGCCATCTGTTAGCCCCTGGTGTCTTTATGCTGGAGCCAGGTCTGCATAGTGTAGGCTGGTCTTGAATTCTCCATCTTCCTGAGCTGAGATTACTGGCTTGCACCGCCACGCAGGGCTCCGAGGCGAAATCATATGCACCAACACACACAAGTGCACATGGGGGACCACCGATCACATTATGCACCAGCACATACAAGCGCACGTGGGCCAGGGACCACCGATCACATCTCTATGCACCAGCACACACAAACACATGTGGGCCAGGGACCACTGATCACATCTCTATGCACCAGCACACACAAACACACGTGGGCCAGGGTCCAGACCCTCTCTTAGCCATGTTCACACAAACACTACCCATGTGCCTATGTACCCAGGCACAACCACACACACAGCAGCTATGCCCACACATTCTCATGTACACAGGCACAACCACACACACAGCAGCTATGCCTACGCTCTCCCATATCACCAGCGTACCCACGCACAAAACACCTGTGCCCTTATAGGCACAGTTATGCACTTAACTGCTATGCTCAAGTATATGTACTGGTGGTTCCATCCCATGTGTTGAGAAAGACCACTCTCTAGTCCTGTTTGACCTCACAGTATGGAGGGTTAAGGAGGTGGCTGGTGCTGTAGGAGCAGGCCTTCCTGGAGGAACGAGCAGTTGTGTGGACATCTGCAGAGCCAAGCTGCCAGGTGTCCAGCTCGCTTGTTACAAGAGGAGCCAAACTAGGAACGTCACAGAAGCCTTTACTCAATACTGCAGTCGCTTCCCGCAGGACACCCCCGTAAAAGGTACTGGGGCTGCATCTTGCTCCTGAGGGGCCAGAGGAAAGGCTCTGGCTGTTGATTTCTGGGAAGCTCAGGGAAGAAACCCCTAAACCTCCAGTTAGAGGAAGAACGTCTCCTGGTGGTGATTCTGGGAGGCCAGGGATTGAGGTAACGATGAACAGCAGCGTGGCTGGGAAGCAGAGCCTTGGGCTGACCTTAAGCATCCAGCGGCCAGGTAGTCTGCACATTCTGGGTTTGGACAGCGGCTCTGTGAGCAACCCAGGAAGAGTCTGTGGCCAGGCCTGGAGCCCACCCTTTCACGACTAGCCCGCCCAGCACCATCTTAAGCTGCAGTTGTGGGAGGAGGTCGGGGACCCATCCTCTCCTGGGCCTTCGGGCTGGGCCAGCAGCATCCGTACACAGCTCGGCAGCATTACTTTTCTTGCTGCTCTTGGACGATCTCCGCACACACAGTCCAGCTGTCCTCACGATCCCGAGGTACCTTGTGTCCCAACTGGAAAAAGGATTGTGGGAGGCCTTCGAGCAGTTTCGTCTTCTGCTGCCTGCCAAATCCAAGGCCCAAGGGAGCCACCAGGGGTCATCAGTTACTGAAAAGCTACCTCACCCCTGTTCTTCATAGGGCACCAGTGGGTGTCTGGGTAGAGAAGGCAGTGCACAGACTGGAACCTGCCAGGGGCAGAAGTGAGGTCAGCTTTGCTGGGCAGGGGGCTGACACCAGAGCCCTCCGGGGCTGAAATACCCCGGTGCCCACTCACCGTGTAGGGTCCTGCTGTATACTGAAACCTCCGGCTACGTTCACCACATTACGTGGGTTCTCAGGACCCCCATAGCTCAGGGTGACCTGGGAGGGGGATCGGGGAGAGTGGGGGTCAGTTCTTCCTCTTGGGTACTTTACCTGCTAAAGTAGAGGCTTGGAGAAGCAAGACAGTGGCCCTTCATAAAGAAGCCCCTCTGAGACTTGCCATGAGCTTCTTCTGCTCCTGAGGGCCATTCATCCAGCAGACAAGGTCTTGGCCCAGGACTCACTCACTCCCCAGGGACAAGGACACCCTGCAGCTAGCCCTCTCCTGAGCTCTGCATGACTGGAAGACCCCCTGGGAGAGAGGCTGGGTCCCCGTAGGAGTGGACTAAGGCCCAGGCTTGGGTGTCTTACCTGCTGCAGAAGGGCATCGGATGGCAGTCTCTGCAGGTTCTCCAGGTGGGAGTGGAAGAGGGGGCTGTGGCGCAGACGGGCGCCCAGAAGCCCTTCCACGATGTAGCCTATTGTGCAGTCATCAGGGAGCCGGACCCGCTCAGCTGTGCTCATGAAGCTGCCTAGGCTGGCGGGTTAGGGTGAGTCAGCACCTACATATCCCTTACCCTCCCCAAGCCGGCCGCTGGGCTCCCAGCCTCCCACTTACCTGGCCCATGGACTCATCTTGAGAGCAAGGCCTCTGCTCAGGCAGAACCCAGCCCCACCAGTAGCAAACCAGAACTTCACTGTGTTTGACTGGAAAAAGGGAAAGCTCGGTCAAGGCTGCCCGGGAGAGGGCTCCTCACCGTCAACCCTCCGGCTGAGTCGTGTCATCCTGGGCCACCGTACAGGAGAGTCTGCAGAGGGCACAGGTGTTCCGAACAAGTCACCGTGGCCTCTGGACCCTTGTTTATCACTATGCTTGGTTTGCTAGCTCCAAGGGCCTGGAACCAGTCCACCTGGTTCTTAGCCCAGTCTCAGCTCCGGGGAGGATGCTGGCCCCAGCACTCACAGCGCCACCGCCCTGGACTCTCTCGGTGGCCTCGATGGGGTGGTCCAGACTAGGTCGCCCCAGGTAGACGTCCTGGTTGGAAGAGAAGGTGGAAAGCAGGTGCAGCAGGCTTTCGGGGTTCACGTAGTTGTCGTCATCCACGTGGCAGAACCATCTGCAGGCGGAGGGAGAGGCCTATGCACCGAGGCCCCCGTTTGGGTGGGAGCCTCCGGCACACTCAGCCCTGGATTCTCTGACGGGTGAGGTACTTACTTCCGTCCAGATTCTATGAACTTATCGTATTCCACCGACATTTTACAGCACAGTGCTTGGCGCGTGCGCACGGCCGAGCAATTGGTGTTGATCAGGCGGCCGCCTGCATGGTTGGAAATGGGAAATTTCAGGGTTGACTTTCAGCTTGCCTCCTGGTTTAGGCTGCAGCCCAACCACACTTAGAACAGCCCAGGTGGGAACAGGTGACTGCCGACGGGGCTTCCTCAAGGAAAGTGGGTGCCAGGGACGGGGTGGGGCGGGTGAGGAGCTGATGGCCGGAAGGATGGGCACTGGAAGGTGGACTGGCTATGGATGGGCATCCCATCCCTTCCCATCCCGGCTCTGCCCTCCACTAGCTCTGAGAACCCAGCCAGGTGCCTGACGCAGGAACAGAATTGCCCCATAGGTACAACTCAGTCCGGGGGGGGGGGGCATCTCACCTGCCAGCAGCTGGAGCTCAGGGTCCTCTCCGTCGGTGAAGATGAACGTCTGAGGGAGGAAACACCGTGAGGCACCAGAGGACCCAGTTGAGTAAGTCTGGGAGCAGGCGCAGGGGGGCCCCGGGACCAGAGGTGCAGGGAGGAGGGGTTCAGCCCGGGACCAGAGGTGCGGGCTGGGGGTCCATCCCGGGACCAGAGGTGAGGGCAGGGGGGCCACCCCGGGACCAGAGGTGAGGGCAGGGGGCGCCAGCCCGGAACCAGAGGTGCGGGCAGGGGGTTCCAGCCCGGGACCAGAGGTGTGGGCAGAGAGTTCAGCCCGGGACCAGAGGTGTGGGGAGGGGTTCAGCCCGGGACCAGAGGTGCGGGCAGGGGGGGGCCACCCCGGGACCAGAGGTGAGGGCAGGGGCGCCAGCCCGGGACCAGAGGTGCGGGCAGAGAGTTCAGCCCGGGAGCAGGGGTGCGGGGAGGGGTCCAGCCCGGGACCAGAGGTGCGGGGAGGGGTTCAGCCCGGGACCAGAGGTGCGTGCAGGGGGTCCAGCCCGGGACCAGAGGTGCGGGCAGAGTTCAGCCCGGGAGCAAGGTGCGGGCAGGGGGTCCAGCCCGGGACTCCGGACCCACGCGGCGGGGGTGGGGTGCGCACCTGCCGTGGGGCTCGTGAGATCCAGGTGCGCAGCAGCAGCCGCAGGCGCGGGCTGTGGTTCTTCCGAGTGGTCTTGACTGCGATGAAGACATCGTCGGGCTGCAGGCGGGAGACCTCGAGAGACAGACCGGGAGTCGGGATCCGGCCAGGGTCCGGTGCGGGCGCGCGGGGCAGGGGCAACGGCAGCGGCAGCGGCAGCAGCAGCAAGACAGCCAGGACCGCGGCCAGCGCGAGGCAGGCCCGGCACAGCAGACCCCGCACACGGTTCATACGCTCGCCCCGGCCCGGGCGCTGGGCGCCCGCCTGAGAGTGAGGCGGCCCCTTTAAGAGCGACCAGCGCCCCGCCCCGAGCCGCGACCCGGAACTGACGGCCGCGCCGCCCCGGAAGTGAACGTCGCTCTGCGGCGCCGGGGGTGGAAGATGCCGCTGCCGGTTCAGGTGTTTAACCTGCAGGTAGGGGTTGGCGGCTGCGCTCGCCGCGCGGCTGTGCGGCCCGGGTCGGGCTCGGTGGGCGGGGCTCGCGGCGGGCGGGGCGGGGCTCTCGGCGCAGGCCTGGGCGCGCGAGCCCCGCCAGCCTCGCGGGCCGCCCTGGGCTCCGGCCCCCGCCCCGCCCCCGCCTCGCGCGCCAACGCTTTCCCGTGCGGGCGCTGGCGGCCCGGGAGCGGTCAGGATGCGGGGCAGCCCGGCGCCCAGCTCCGCGTCGTCGTCGGCGTCCGACCTGAGCCGCAGCCCTGCGCACAGCAGGTCGGACTTGCGGCCCGGGACGTCGGGCGACTACAGCCTGAGCGCCAGCCTCTCGGCCTGCACGCTGCTCTCCGAGGTACCCGGCGCCCTGCCTGCGGGAGGCGGCCCTCGGCGTCGCCCGAGGCCCCGGCGTCTCTTCCGCACCGTGGCCGGCCTGCTGTGGCTCTCCTGACCTCTGCAGAGAGGGTGTCAGTCTGGTTTATTATCTGTGGCCTGGAGGAGGCTTCATTAATCAGTCAGAGAACTGTGACCCACAGCAGTGTGGGAGAGCAGAGGGGGGCGCTTGGCCTCCAGTGCCCGAGGGAGCCCAGAACAGTTGTGCCTTGGACGTCCCTGCTCTCCCTGGTGCTGTGTGTCAGGGAGCTTTTTCTGAATTGCAGGGGGCTGTGGAACCTATGCAGATTGATGTCGATCCCCAGGAAGACCCCCAGAACGCACCTGATGTCAACTACGTGGTGGAGAACCCCACCTTGGTACGTATCTTTGTGCGGTGAGGACTACCGTCACTTGGGTCTGTTGAGGGGTCCAATCAGACTCCCCACTGTAGTGGAGTTTTGGGGAGATGGCGACGCCTAGCAGCCACTTTAGTGACATCTTTCGGAGCCACGAAACTGGGTTTTCATGTGCCCGCATGTGTTGGCTTCTCAGGCAGTTTTAAGACTCTGCACCGTCTTAGTGGGAACACCTCCGTTAAAGTCTGTTTCCAGCCAACACGCTTTTTTTAATCTGTTCTCACCCCAACTTCCATCACTTGGCGGGTGTGCCTGTGTTCCTGTTTTCCAGTGCAGAGCTGGACCCGAAGGTCCTTAATCCACACCAGTGGCCTCTTCCCAGAATCTGGGACAGCAGTCAGTTCTGTAGGCCTAAGGGAAGGTTTGGTATCCGTGCTCAGGCTGTCAGGTCCTTGCTTACCTACTCCCTCCAACCCCCCCCCCCCCCCCGCCCCCCCCCCCCCCCCCCCCCCCCCCCCCCCCCCCCCCCCCCCCCCCCCCCCCCCCCCAGGACCTGGAGCAGTATGCAGCCAGCTACAGCGGCCTGATGCGCATTGAGCGGCTGCAGTTCATTGCTGACCGGTGTCCTCCACTGCGGGTCGAGGCCTTGAAAATGGCCCTGTCCTTCGTACAGAGGACCTTCAATGTGGATATGTATGAAGAGATCCACCGGAAGCTCTCTGAAGCTACCAGGTAAGGCCCTAGAGGGGGCAAGTGACCACCACATTCTGTGCCCATCATCCTACCTGTGGTGTAGCAGTTACGGTACACATCAAGTCCTGTGGTGTAGCAGTACCCTGTAGTTAAGTCCTGTGGCAGGGAGGTGGTAGCAGGCCCTGTTCTTTCTCTCCTGGCTTCCTTTGCCTGTGTGCAGACAGAACCTGGTGTAGCTCTCCTTCCCCTACCCCCGAAAAAAAGGGGGGTCAAAACCCTTTATCCTCCATTAAAACTTCCCTATCTGACTGTGGGCTCCTAGGTCAGGAAATGTCTCTGTAAAGGGCCCCTGGTGCGGGTGGGCTTCTTTGGGTGGGGCAAAGCAAAGGCCTCTTGAAGACCAGCCTGTGGCTTGTTATGTCTTCTCCCCTTCCTCCCTGGTTCTTGTGGTTGTCGCTGTCTTCATGGCTAGGTTATCCTTCAGGGAGCTGCAGAACGCACCTGATGCCGTTCCTGAGAGTGGAGTAGAGCCCCCACCCCTGGATACAGCCTGGGTGGAGGCCACTCGGAAGAAGGCCCTGTTGAAACTGGAGAAGCTGGACACAGACTTGAAGAATTACAAGGGCAACTCCATCAAAGAGAGCATCAGGTGCGGCCTGCTCTGGGCAGGGGAGGCGGGCAGCTGGGCCTGGCTGGCTCCTCGACCAGTATCCACTCACTCCCGGGCCTATAGGCGCGGCCATGACGACCTGGGTGATCACTACCTGGACTGTGGGGACCTCAGCAATGCCCTCAAATGTTACTCACGAGCCCGGGATTACTGTACCAGTGCTAAGCATGTCATCAACATGTGCCTCAACGTCATCAAGGTGACCTAGGGGACAGTGGGTAGGCATGGAGGGCCCAGAGAGGCCACCAGACTTAGCTTGGCCTTGCCTACTCATCTGCCAGGTCAGTGTCTACTTGCAAAATTGGTCTCATGTGTTAAGCTATGTCAGCAAGGCTGAGTCTACTCCAGAGATTGCTGAGGTAAGATCCACCTCCATGGGGCCCCCTGGTAGCCCCCATACCCATTCCTAGCCTCAACCTCCATTTGAGTTTGCTCTTGACCCTTCCCTGGGTAGGCTGGGGGACAGGGAGTAGAGCCCCTTGAACGAGGAGGGCAGGGTAGGGCCTCTCATACGTGCTGCCTTCCCCTGTAGCAGCGTGGAGAGCGGGACAGCCAGACCCAGGCCATCCTCACCAAGCTCAAGTGTGCTGCAGGTGAGGCTTCCAGCCCCCTCAAGCCCTTGTAACCTTGGGGAAATAGCTAGAGGTACAGTACTGGCAGGCCCCAGTGCTTCCGTGTGTGTCTGTGTTCAGGCAGAGAAGCCGGTGGGGTGTGGGAAAGTAGAGAGCTGGTTTCCAAGCCTGGCTGTATGTTATGGCATTTGAGGCTTCCCTGCAGACATACTTACAGGAATGTCTCCAGTTAGATGCTGTCACTAACAAACTGAAGGATACTGGGGGCAGGAGGCCAGTGGGCTGTCCACTGATGACCAGTCTCCTAGGGCTCCAATAGCCTCCTCTAATAGCCTGTCTTCACTGTCTCCTGCCTGGTCCCTCTAGGCCTGGCTGAGCTGGCTGCACGAAAGTATAAGCAAGCTGCGAAGTGCTTCCTTCTGGCTTCTTTTGATCACTGCGACTTCCCAGAGGTGAGGAGGAGCATGTGGGACTCTTGAGCTTGTCCAAGTCCGTAAGAGGAAGCGAGGGCTCATGGATTGAGGTATTAACCTCTCCTGAATGTGGTCTAAGCATGTCTGAGTAGTAGGAAGGCCAGGCCCCAGCTCTGGGCTTCCTCCTTGGTGTGTGCACCTGTGACCCAGGACCCTAGGTCTCTGGCCCCACCTCCCCTTCTGCCTTCAGCTGCTGTCCCCCAGCAATGTGGCTGTCTATGGTGGCCTGTGTGCCTTAGCCACTTTTGACCGTCAGGAGCTGCAACGCAATGTCATCTCCAGCAGGTAAGTTGGGTGGTGGCTCCTACCTCCTGTTCCTGCCCAGGATCAGGCCCTTAGTCCCTTCTTAGCTGAGCACTCTGGTATCCTCAGCTCCTTCAAGCTGTTCCTGGAGCTGGAGCCACAGGTCAGAGACATCATCTTCAAATTCTATGAGTCCAAGTACGCCTCATGCCTGAAGATGTTGGACGAGATGAAGGTAGGAGACAGGAACAGTTGCACTGAGACTGGGCTAACCTGTGCCTCAGGTCACTGACCAGTTCTCCTCTGCAGGACAACCTGCTCTTGGACATGTACCTGGCCCCCCATGTCCGGACGCTGTATACCCAGATTCGCAACCGGGCTCTCATCCAAGTAAGTGGGGGAGGGGAGTGGCAGTTAGAGGCTGTGTGAGGTGCAGACACTGGGGACAGTGGACAGCTTGTGGCAGTCAGAGGCTGCGCAGGGTGGGGTGCAGACACTGGGGACAGTGGACAGCTCATGGCCTCCGTCCTGTAGTATTTCAGCCCCTACGTGTCAGCTGATATGCACAAGATGGCCGCAGCCTTCAACACTACAGTTGCGGCTCTGGAGGATGAGCTAACACAGCTCATCCTGGAAGGGCTCATTAATGCCCGCATCGATTCACACAGCAAGGTACGTAGTTAGGGCTGGGATGGCTGGGGGCATGGCCTGCTGGGCCATTCTGAACTTCCTCTCCTACTTGTACAGATATTGTATGCTCGAGATGTGGATCAGCGCAGCACCACCTTTGAGAAGTCCCTGCTGATGGGCAAGGAGTTCCAGCGACGTGCCAAGGCCATGATTCTGAGGGCAGCTGTGCTGCGCAACCAGATCCATGTCAAGGTGAGCAGCCGGGGTGAGGAACGGGCAGCTCTTACACAGCCTCCACTGACCCCTCTGTCCACTGCAGTCTCCGCCTAGAGAAGGGAGCCAAGGGGAGCTGACTCCAGCCAACAGCCAGTCACGGATGAGCACCAACATGTGAAAGGCATCCCCCACCTGACCCGCAGAGACCGGTTGCACTCCTGCCCAGCGCATGGAAGCAGCACCTGGGCCTCTCGCCTGCTTTCCTCAGAGGAGGCTCCAGACTATGTGTGGTTCATTAGAGCAGCCTGGCCGCTTGGATGTCAGTTCACTGGCCTTCCACTCTGAGGTTCTCTCTGCTGTGGTAGGCAAGCTGCCCGCTATGGTCACTCAGGCCTGACTCTAGGTTTCTGTCCAGTGAAACAGACTGTGTGCAATGCCCAGGTAGGGGACCCCGAAACCCTCCTGTCCGTGTAGTTCTGACTGCAGCAGTGTAGCCATTAAAGTACAGATTGACCACTGCCCCAGGCTCTGCTCCTCTCTGCTTTGGAAGATCTCACCCAGGGCAATCCCCTGGATGTTCTGACCACTCGGGAAAGGCAGGGCATACCCACTCATTTCACACTGCTTTCCTGGCTCCCAAGGTCCGCTGAGCCAGAAGAGCAGCTCCTTGGGTGTGGGCTGGAAGCAGCAGCCATTGGCCAGTATTAGATCTCTGCAAACGAATCTCTGAAATGGTTTATTGTTCAGTCCTGAAAACAGGTTGTGGGAAAGGGGCAAGTTCAGCCAAGGTGCCTGAAGACACCAACTGTCCTTCTGTGTCAAGTAGGAGATTCCCTGAGTAAAGGCATTTCCTTAAGAATGTCTAGGCTTCAGTGGCTGTCCTGGGGTAGAGCGGGCCCTTGCTGGCTCTCAGGCCAGGGCACTACCCATGACTTCGGAGAAACCACCTGGTGTTCCGGGCCTCCCCTGCTGAGGTTCCTGCAGCCCAGGCTGGGTTTCTTTCCAGGCCAGAGACTTCTCTAATTTGGTCTTAAAAAGCAGTCCATGGCCTGACAGGGAGAACAAGAGGGGAATGATTGTCAGGAAGCCAAGGTTCCCACTGCTGCGGGGGTGGGTGGGCTGGTGCAGCAGGAGTCTACTCACCTGGGCAATCTGCTGTCTCTCTGAATGCTCGCTTCTTACAGCAGCCACGGCACAGGTTAAACACACATCTGTTGCCCTGTGTACGAGAAAGCTGGTGAACTGAGGCCAACACCCATGCCTAGACCCCAGCAATATCCATGGGGACTGCCCTGCCCACCTGCACAGCAACAGAAGAGCCAGCTCACCTTTGGATTTCCACACTGGTCACACTTTGCATATTTAGCTGAAAATTAAGGGGGAGCTGGTTGAATGAGATGGATATGAGGCAAGCCAGGGTGACTGGCTGCCACCTCTACAAGTCTTGCTGTGACCGACTGGTAAGGATGGAGGATGTGGCTAGTTATGACAGGAGATGGTGGACACAGGAGAGTGAGCATGGCCTCAACTGGGAACAAACAGGAAGCAGATGGGCTGCCCATTCAGTCCCAAGTGTTCCAAAGCCCTAAGGTCTGTTAGCATGTCACCCAGTGAGAGAAAGTACAGCCAGGTACGGTGGCTAACACCTGTAATCCTAGCACGTGGACTGCTGCTGAGGATGAGTCAGTGTGGACTACACTGTGAGATCCAGGGCAGCCTGGGTTACAGCCTGAGACCTATCCCAAGGTCCCTCCTGCAAATTCCCCAGGCTTGCAAAGCTACCAGTTGCCACCAGACTGCTGAACCCCTAAGAAGCAGCTGAGTGTGAGAGCCCGAGTTGCTGAAATGGCCAGAGCACAGAGGACAATGCACTGGACTGAGACTTCAAAGCTGCACACCTAGGAACCATAAGAGAGGCTAGCCACCTTCAGCTCCATCTATTTGGCCAGACTGAGCAAGCCAAGAATAGCCCTAGTAACCCAAAGCCCTGACACAGGCAAACTCCTCTGTGGTCACCTGAACAGCACCTAGGTAAGGAGTTTGTACAGTGGCCTTGTCTGATACATCACACACAGATGAGATTTAAAAGCTTTCACAGGTTCTTAGTGTCAAACCCCACGTCTGGTCTGGGCACAGGACAAACATCCCTAGGCATCTGTTTCTGAACCCGGGCTCCTACCTACAGTTAAGACAAAGACAAGGGGACCGACAGTCGACCAGTTAACCTGGCCTGAACAGAGCCGCACTCACGTTTCAGGGAAGGGTCGAAGGTCTTGTGAGGGTTCCTCAGCTGCTTCTTCAGCTTGTTCTTGGACAAGCCATCTAGGCTGCCCTCTTCCTCCTCCAGAGCCCGCTTACTGCGGCCACCACTATTCTCCTTGCTCCCTTCCCTGGGCCTGAAAGGAGAGGGCACACCAAGAAGACACGGTCAGTTCACTGCTGCCAAGTGGGGCCGATCTCAGGTGTGGTCCCAGGCAAAGGGGCCTGTATAGGACACAGGACACACGTGCAGCCCACACAATAGAAGGGGTAAATCTAAAGTTCAGGGGCCCAAGGTTCGTGCCACTGAGCCCAGGCAGGCTGTGATCACAGATCAGCCTGCCCAACTTTGGAGATTCCAGCCCCAGGGTCCACCCAGTAACCCCAAGGACAAAGTCACAGAGGACCAAAGGATCTTGGGCAAGTACCCAAAGCACTTTCTCCACACAAAGCCTCTCCCTCCACTCAGAACAGGGACTTGCCTTAGTGACAATGGGCACCTGTGTGTGTATTCACACTGCAGGCTGGCGTAGCTCACCCCCTGTGAGTGTGTTCACACTGCAGGCTGGCGTAGCTCACCCCGTGTGTGTATTCACACTGCTGCAGGCTGGCGTAGCTCATCCCCCACCCCCAATGCGTGTATTCACTGCAGGCTGGCGTAGCTTACCCAGGCCTGATGTAGGGCTGGCAGATCCAGTGGAAGGCAGGTAAGTTGCCAGGTGGCCTCACTCCTTCTTGCTGCCTGGACATGTCCTCCTGCAAAGGCCCAAGACGTGTCAAAGACCTAAGCTGCTGGCCCACGACAGAGCTTGCTGGGCTCCCACAGCCCTGCACCTGCCTGACACCGAAGCTTTAGTGCCTGGCTCACAGCAGCCACGCCCTCCAGGGTCTTCACTTTGGCCAGCTCCTCTCGAAGCTGCTGATGGACCTGCAGCCTGAGGAAGATGCCTGTCATTCAGTCACCACCTGAGCCATGGCCAATTTCTTCCCACCCAGGTTCTGGCCTCCCTCACTGCCAAGCTAGCAGCCTCAGCAGACTTGGTTGTCTTGGGAGAGCACAGAGCACTCCAGAGGGCTGACATTGCTTAGAGAGACTGACTCTCAACTCCTATCCAAGGAGCAACTCACGTGTGGTGCCACAGCTTGAAGAGATGGGCCCGGACATAGGACAGTGGGCAAGGGTGCTGCTGTACAATGTCCAGGTACTCCTCAGCCAGCTCCCACACGGCAGGGCTCCGGCCCTCAAAGAGGGCAGGGTTGTGCAGGTTGCCCTCTGGGAAGTGGGGAGGGAGGAAGGCCTGGTCAGGTCACAGGCTAGCTATAGGGGAGCAGGCAGGACAGTGAACACTGTTCACTAAACGGCCATCCATTGCTCACCTGCAGTCATGACCCCTTGCACACCCGTGTCCTGGATACACTGCTCCACATCCTGCAGGCACCGGATATTCCCATTTGCAAACACAGGGATTCCCACGGCCTTCCTGTGGGGGGCAGGGAGAGAAGCCTGACCCTATACCACACCAGGGCAGTGCTTAGCAGGAGGGACAGAGACCAGCCACCAAGTTCCACCCTGTTGAGACACCTTGCCTGCTATGGTATTGCTGCCTTCCCTCCTAGACATAGGACACCAGGTAAAGCTGAACACACCAAGGTGTGGAGCTAAGACAATGACTGCACCCAACCTACTGTATCCACTTGCCTGACCGCCTTGATGTGCTCCCAGGAGGCTGTCCCTGCCATGGGCCCCTTCTGCTCCTTGGTGCGCCCATGTACAGTCAGGAGCTAGGACAGATCAACACATGGTTCAGCATTCTCTAGACCAAGGTCCCAAACCAATCACAAAGGACCTGCTTAAGTTCCTCAGCTTTCCATCCAGGAAAGAAAAATGGCCAGCCGGGCCAGATCTATCCCTGGACCCCAGGGTCTTGAGAGCCCTGCCCCATGAAGGAGCCCCAGGCTGCTGAGGGGTGGCTCCTGCTCTTCTAGAAGCTACATGTCTCAGAACACACTTGACCAGGCTCAACATGGAGGGCTGGGAAGAGTACCAAGTCTAATGCCCTGTGGCTTACGCCTAGTCTTCCAGAGAGGATGGATACTGAGCTCACCTAAGAAGGCCATGGCTGATGTCTGGAGGGCCTGAGACACGGTAGTAAACCCAATGTTACTCCCCAAAGTCAACACCCTGGAGCTGGGATGGCAGTTTTAGAGGCTCTGAGACCAAGGTAGTGGTGGGTCTTAAAAAAATGGGGTCAGGAGGGACCCACTGCTAAGCTCACAGAAAATGACTTGGACACACCCCCCACCCAAAGCTGCAGGAGGATCAAGAGCCACCTCTGGTCTTGGAAGGTTGTCAGGGAGAGACAGTGTGGATGTGAGCCCAGACTGCCTGCTGGATCCCAGCAACCACCCCTGGGAGCCACGGCCCTCACCTGACAGCCGGCCTTCTCCAGCATCTGGGCATACCTCACCGTCCTGTCAATCTCAGGGAAGACACGGATTTTGCACGTGACAGGAACAGAGAGTCTCTCATGAGCCAACAGAACTGAGAAAGAAAGGTAGTCTCTGAGGGAACCATGGTTCTATTCCAAGGTGGAAAAGTCCCTATATGCCAGTCCCACAGAGCCATACTAGCTTTTCCAAAAAGCAGGTCTAGGGGCATATTCTTGGCCTTTTCCTGTCTTCACATGTGATGTCGGCCTGTGCTGGTTTCCAGTGAGAAGTAGCACCCAATAGACCTAGCTGTCCCCATGGGGCTGTGGGAGCTAAAGGAAGCCCTCCCTACGGGATGACTGTCATCCTGGCCTGAGCCCCAGCCAAGACGTGTGTGCTTATGAGCCCTGTCAGAATGTTCCGGGGCTGCTCCAGCTGACATAGTGATGCGCAGCCAACTTACCCATTCTCTGAAGCAGATCCCACTCCTCCTGCAGAAAGGCACCATAGTGACCTGCGGAGAAGGGTGGCCGGGTGTCACTCTCAGACCCACTGTCACGAACCCACACAGAGCCTCCACCTGAAAAAGCCTGGCCCGGACAGGTGTCAACACAGGACTGTGGAGTGACCTCACCTCTCTTGGCTATCATCTGTGGGCAGCCCAAATTCAGGTCGATGGCATCACAGTAATCTTGTGCCAGGAGACCCGCCTGGACAAACACCTCTGGGTCATTGGCACAGAACTGAAGAAGACATGAAAGTCATCCATGGTCACATCAGGCAAAGACTCCCTGCCTAGGCCTCCCTGCCCTGTGAGGAGCCCCACGGCG